ATATATATATATATATATATATTCGAATCCGCGATAGATGTTCGACCGGGAAAAGTAACGGGAAGGCAAAGCACATAAATGTTAATAAATGATAATGTATGTAATTGGTCGCATCTACCGTGGTGTAATGAGATTTCAATGTTCACGGAGGATAAGCGGATGATGAAAGCAGATAGAACGGCACATACCGGAAAACCCTCCGAGCCGCGGGAGGATGTCCGTCCGGCCACCTTGTCATTGCGCATTGTGGGCAATTCATTATCAGCTTTCCATCTTCTGGATTGAAGATCGCTATTTTTCTGAGAGTGGGGCCTGTAAATGGAAAATCGTAAGAGATGTTCCCTCCTTTTGCCGCAGACGGGCAACTACTCGGCAAATTGAACAATCGGGCAAAACGCGACCGCTTCAGTCGAGTGACAAACATCAAGGCAAGATTTTAATTTCCTCCCGTTTCTCCTTCCCTTGCCCTGTCTCGTTGTGCGTGTCCCTTTTCGCGGGAACAAATTACATTGTTCGTGGTTTGAGGTTTTAATCACGGAAGAAACGTAATTGTTCCAATTCGATGTTTCTCCCTTCGTTCGTGTCACGGATTCACGACGAAATTAATAACGTAGCTTACGACACAGCGATAATAAGCATCGTGGCGTGCAAGAAGCCTCGGATTATCCGAGAAAAAAGAGCCGAGAAAGTCGGAAGTTTAATTCCTATCTTCTATTCCACTCGCATCTATCGGGAAATCCGTTCTCCTATAAAATACCTTTTTCCAGCTGTGCTCCACCACTTGCGCGACACGGCCGATAAAGTCGAATATGGGTACACGGAGGTTGCAAAGAGAGGGCGAATCGAGGGTATAGAATTCCTATTTGCCTTGGTACGACCACGTCTAAACGAGGGACTTCCCAAGGATTACGATTCGAATCACCTTTTCCCCTCCTTCCTTTTTTCCCCCTTTCTTTCTTTCAAACAGATTACCGAACAACGAAGCTGCGAAACGGATTCAATTTTGTTCCCGAAATCGAGTTCCCTGAACTTAGCAGAAAATATCGCGTTGGTCGCTCGCGGTTTAAAAATGCTCGTCTATCAAGCTGTCGTCTTCGTTATATTTCACAGACCAGACGGTATTGGGATTTTTCTCATCAGCTTAATGACAGCAGCCAGGTAATAATACTCATTTCGTTCCATTTTCTGTCCCCGCGTACCGTCGCGCGATTATTTTCGAGGACTGGAGATAAAGGAGGTCGACCGATCGTTTTTTAAGGTTTGCATTCACGGAAACTGCCGACGTGCAGAGTATCTGCTTCGCGAATCACGAAGCTCCTCGATGCTTTTTCATCTTGGCAGCTATCTGAACTTCTTCCGCGAAATTGATTTACTCGCTCCTTAAATTGCACGCTGGACGCGTAACAGTTTCTCAACGCGCAACCCTGCAAATGCACCTTCGCAGCATTTTACGAACTGGTCGTAATAACATCGTGATAGTTTCTGCGACATGGCGAACTCGTAAAATCGGTCTGACGTCAAAGTTTATACGTTCGAACCGTCGCGACTTTATACTTCAATTCAGCAGGATTTACATCGTGGACTGTACGTTTGCCAGTTGCGTGTAGTTCGTTGTATCGCGTATCATGTTATTTCGGTAGGTTTTTTTTTTTTCTTTTAGCTCGATTCGAAATTCCACTTTGTTCAAAGCTGTTGTTCTCTTCTCCCTTGACGCGCATTTCCGTTTGTCTGCGTTCGAGGATGTCTTAAAGATTGGGAAACTTTATTGTTTTGTACCTTGTGACGTTGTTCTTGCTCTTTACGATGGTTGCGCGCTAATGTAGTTGTAGCTTATTTGTTGCTTCTTTTATCGCTGGAATCCTTTCCTCTGCTGTGCTGCTGCGTTGCCTTTCGCCAGGCGAATTCTTCCTTGGTGTTCCTTTGCTGCTTTTGATTCCCAGAATTTTCTTTTTACTGTTCCCGCGGTGTGTCTTTTATGGCTAGAATTCCTTCCTCGTTTCCCTTGCTTTTTATACCTCAAATTTCTCATCCTTTGGAAGCTTGAATTTTCTAGTTACTAGAGTCTCTCTCTGGAATTCCGAGACTTCATTCTGCGCCCCCGATTGTTTATTAACGATCTGACCTTTATTCCGTTTTTTTTTCCCTCTCCTCGTCAACGATTGCTCATCTTTAATCATTAATCAATGAAACGGCGTAAACCATACTTTCACATTTCGATGTTGTTCACGTAATAAGCTACTTCCTTTTGCTTCGCATAGTTTTAAAATGTAGTTTATAACCGTATTCTTCTGCGTAAATACCAAACCTTATTTATCTCACTATGGAAGCTAGACGTTTGCAATTTGTGTATTTTAGATGTGCATTTTTCCTCGTTTCTTACGAGCATCCCAGTAGCATGGGCAGGGAGGATGGGTGTATCGCAACAACCATTAACGGAGAAAATATAGTTTCGATTCAAAGGAATCTATGTAACCAGAATATTTGCAACGATTTCCAAAGAAAATAAGCATTTATTCTTATTTTGATGTTTTACACAGTTTTAATTTTAAAAAATAACAGAATTATAGTAATGAGAAAAACTGAACACATACACGTACAATTTTAACGTG